CCCCCGCCCATGATATAGCAAATCCTTCTTACTGCATAGGGAAAAAGGAGCTCTGTCATACAGCTGTAGCTCACTTCTAATAGTCTCACTGGCTTGGCTATTCAGCAACACGGAGTATTGCATTTCTCCACCTCTTCAACACTATGCAACTTGACAGCTTTTGCACAGATGGGCTAAAAATGCATTTGTATGGTAGCAAAATAAACAAGGAGCCATGGCCCTTCGTGTGGGAGTGGCCACTCTGCTGCTGCTACGATCTGTGGACCTTTAATAGAGGGCACAGGACAGGGATCCAAGTATTTTCAAATCATAGCATTATTTCTTCATAGCTTTAGCTAATTGCTACACAGTCCCCGAGTCCTCAAGGACAGAAAGAGTTCTCTGCCTGACCTTGCCCTTTGCATTTTTGTAAATAATTAGCACACACCAGATGTAAGCATAATGTAAAACAGCTGTAGAACTTCCTTTCTTTCTGTCTTCAAGCAGCAAAATCCATTCCTTAGTCCCTCATCAAAACTAGCGGCAACATCTCTCCGAACTTGGTACGTGAGCATGCTTACATTTTGTCAGCAACCTTGCAGTTTTGCATTATTTGGGTCATTGCTTAAGATTAAAGATGTATCTCTAATTATTATGAGTGAAACCATGCTCTGTAATACTTTAAAACCAGGTCTGCTCTTAAGCTGTATTGCCTTTCAGAGAAAGAAAAACTGCTGTTTTGAAAAAACATAGAGTTATTCTGTCCCCACCCAAGCTGAAGCATAACAAATTAATCACACTAAGGTTTTCAAAACATTTCCAGAAAATATCGTGTATCTTCCTTATCTACTTACAGAGACAGAACTCCGCAAAAACTGTAAATGAAGACCCTGAATAGGGTCCAACAAGGGATTTAAAGCTCAGACACATTCAGTATCTTCAGTGCACGTAATTTTTGTTTAGCTGATGGTTCTGTATTTTCACAAAATCTTACCTACCTATACTTGATCTTTTTAACAGACAACAAGTCCCCTGCCTTTGGTTTAGGTTTCATTTCTAGCATTTCAGTTTAGATAGTAATATGCTTTTTTGAATATTTAAGCAGTACCTGCAAATTCTGAGAAATTCAAACACTATATTTTACCTTTGTCTGATATGACAGCCTATACATATCTACTAAGCAAGTGAATATAACATCATGAGACATTCCAGGACACAGTTTGCGTTGTACCTTGTAGCCCAGATGCTTATCAATTTTTAAATAAGAAAAAGCAAATGCAAGACTTGTATTCTTCAAAGTAACACTGCACATATAAGGTTTAGTGACACAGTTCACAAGACAGCAAACTGCTTTTCATTTGCAAAGGGCAATATTCACATGAAGTACCCAAATCTGAGTTGCTCCTTTACTTTCATTGCTTCAAGAATTAGATTTTTTAAAATTATTTTTTGCATTCAGAATTAACAGGCATCTTGAATAAAGTGTCAACATGTACCACTTACCTCCCTACCCCTGCTTCCTAGGTATTGGGTTAAAATTGAACTATAAGCCTTGCAATAATCCAGGTGAGGACACACATTTTGCAGCTTTAGAAAAGACAGCAGTAAATCCTTATTTTCTGGGTATTTCACATTAACCATGCAGGACGGGAGCAGAGGTGATAGAAGTTCTAGGCATTTCTCTGTAAGAGAGTAAAAATTGCTTCAGCCCAAGTATCCCACTGTAGCTACATGAATTAACTATAAACCTGCTAGAGTGGCATTATAGCATTTAAAATTGACATTTAAAATATTACCAGCAACAGGTGGTAAAACTAGTCAGAAATACTTAAAAAGATTTCCTAGGTGACATAATATTTAGACCATCTCTTAGTCCCCCAGATAACAGAACATGTTAGAAAGTGATGGAGAGCTACCACCTATCAGTTTTACTTATTAACACTTGCTGAAAGTGAGGACACATGACAAAGCTTAGAAACAGGTATTTGTAATACAGTTTTTCCCTGCTGTAATAGCTTTCCACAAATGCCACATTAACAATGCAGATGTCTATTCCATGTGCTCTGGTTTTAGTAAGTAACTGAAAATGATACCTTGAGGTTCATCAGTTACCATACATACAAAAATACCCCTGTACACATACTGAAGACAGGCCACAAACTATGAACAAGACATTAACAGCACTTTAAATGTATCAATTTATTGCATATGTCAGTACATAAAAATAGAAATTTTTTTTTGTAAAATTAAATTTATTGTAAAAAAGACTAGAATGAGACTGTAAAACTTTGCCACAATTAGCACATATACAGTAACATTTATGCTTTGTCTACAAAACTTAAGAATACTTTATAAGACATTTTTGCTTTGACTATATATTGAAGTCAAATAAAAAGCTTGCATCATATATTCAATGACTGTTTCTGAATTCAAAACACAAGTGTTATTTAGAACTTCAATATGCTATCTCTATTTACACTTCTGCAGGGTTCCACCCTAAATTATACAAAGCAGGATGGCATTGTAAATCCTCCTTAATGGGATACATTAGGCTGATCCCACTACAAGCAAGAGGCACAGATTTCATATTTGGCAGAAGTGCCCCTAGCAAAATCACCTGTCATTAAAAAAAACCAACGTACTTCTCAAGAGTTAAATTATGAAATACAAATGGAGGTATGTCTGCATCTTTTTGCTAATAGAAGAGACCATACCTTGGAGTCTCAATTCAGCCTTGCATTCTTCACTGTGAACTTCCAACGTGATGCAAATGATTAGCTTAAGAGATGCTGATATGCATATTTTGTATAGTTAATCCATCTGCCCTTCAACTGAGAGATTGTCCGTAGCCTACCAAATGTATTTGTGCTCTATTTCTAATTTTACCTGAGAAATGGACATGAGGGCAGCTACACGTTAGCTTTTCTTCAGATGAAAGCATAGCTTATCTCTCTGCATTGCACAGTTCAGAAACAAATACTGGGAATGTAAACTTGCAGTAGCAGGAAGCCTCAAGTATTTCCACTAATTAAAACCACACACATGTGTGCACGCAAGGTCTTATACTGGATGCTGCCTTACAAGGACTCTACTGCTACAGCTGTTCCAGTTCAGTTCCTGACCCCCCACTCTTTTTTTTTTTTCTTTTCCTCCAAACATAAAGTTCCTCTTATAAAAGAGACAATTCCTTTAATGAGTATATTTAAATCAAGAGGCTTTCCTACAAACCTGTGAAAATAACTAACTGCCTCTTCCCAAACTAGAAATTTATATACACAGGACAAATACTTGGGAAACATCTATACACAAACAGAGAACTATTAAGGGAAAACATATAATGATATTAAGTGGAGTAAATGCAACAGTACCATAATACACCTTTAGGCAATCTGAAGTTATTACTACGCTGTTGCTTGAAGTTCACTTCTTAGCAGCAGGTAACTGTGGGTCTCCATCACACAGACCATAAAATAAAAACAAGTCTTGACTTATCAGAACAAGTTTCTTCCCCCTTCTCCCTCCCTTAAAAGATTGTACGTACAGCAGTGGAATATTTGCATTAAAAAAATCATTTCCTTCCTATTTTCTTTCAGTGGATTTCATAGCCAATGCCATGAAAAATAGCACGATAATAGACATTCATTCACAAGGGTACGCACCCAATCCATTAAGGGAGAAGTAAAAATGCGCCTACGTGGAAGGTGGAAGAAACCGCATTAAGTGTAAAGGATGCATATATGACAACTGTGTCTTCTCACACCCACTACTTGCAAAAATCAGACAAAGTTTCATCTTTCTGTCCTGCAGACAATATAGTGAAAAGATATGGCTTGATAATCAAAAGTAATGTTTAGATACAGTCAACTTCAAACCGTTCCAGATTGCCATAACCTAATGCCACACATTTGACTTTGACTTAGCAACTGTGTGCCCAAATAAGAATATTTCATTTGCATACAAGTGCCACATAATACTGGGAGTATTCGGGGTTGAAGTTTTTGTTTGTCTTTGGCAGGAAGTGGGGCAAAAAGTCATGTTACTTTAGAAATCGACATTTTTATGAAAAGAACAATGGTATTTAATGGCAAGTTATGACAACTTCTGAAACAGTTATTTCTCTTCATTCTGTCTCCAACAAGTAATCTATTCTTTTGGCTTTATCAACTCATTTTTAGAAAAGCAGTATTTGCCCATTTATTTTCCTTCTCTCCCTCCACCTTAGTTCTAAAGCAATGTGAAGTAGCTGAAACAATCTATGCAAGCAGCTCACGTTGTCATTTTAGAATACAGCAGGGAAAGGGAATGCTATGCCTACTGACTCCCTTCTGCTATATAAACACTCTCCGCCCCCCTAGCCAAACTTCACCAATATACCTTCCCCACCTGCCTCCCCCCTCCCCAAAAATACCACCACTGGAAGGCTGACGAGATAGTTTTGGTTTCACTTGGATTTAAAACTATGCTCTGTCTATGATTTTAGGTCTACAGATCCAAAGAGGTCTATAGCTTTTTCAATCAACTCTAAGAAAACCTTAATAATAGTATGACAAAGGATACCTACCAGAGAAAGCAGCAACTTCTAGTATGAATATGTTTATTTAAAAATAAAAATAAAATAAATTAAAAAAAAAAATCACATTTAAGTAAAAATGTATCACCCTATCTACAAATTGCTGACAACTATTACCCATGTGTACATAAGACTTGTAACTCCATGTAATAAATTTTAGGAGGCATAACCATTAAGGCACCAGTTCAGGAAAGCAGTTTTATTCAACCAGAGAACTTAAGCACAAGCTTAAAATACCACTGTCCACCAGGAAACAGATTTTAAGTGTGTGCCGAGATGCTTTTCTGAATCAGGACAACATGGCAGAAAGTTTTATTTAAAAATTTCAATCCAAAGGGCAATTGTACAGATTGTGTGGAACATTTTCCACAGTTCATTCTTCCCATAAAAAGTATTTTGAAGAGGCAAACTATCAGCTGCAGCAAATGAGAAATTAAACCTGCAGAAGAGATTTAGAAAGCCCCACACTCCAATACGGACTAAGCTAACAGCATACAACTTTGATATGACTACCTAGGAAAAGGACTCCTAAAACCAAAACCAAAACACAAACAAGAAAAACAACAACAACAAAGAACCCCAACATTCTCTCAATTTAAGTACTGCTGGCTCTGAAATGGTGATACTAGCTTCAAAAAATCCCAGCAGAGCTAAAGAAAACTCACTTCTGCTGAAGCCTAAGCTACTTCCACATGGTACAACAGAACTGTAAACGACTTTTTGCAAGCAAATGGGTAAAAGTGTTAAAATAAATGTCGTCTCTTTCAGACTAACTAAGCTTAGGTCTACTAAATTTAATGCACTAATCCTTTTTATTATCTTTACTGTAACAACTGTATACGTTAATCTCTATTCATGTGATCACTGGTAATTATTTGTATTTGTTTCTTTTGGAGGTATAAATAAAGGGCACAGACATTTAACTACACCAGCCTAAAAGAAAAAAATGAACACAAATACAAATAACATACTGTTACCTTGTATGACACTCCTTTCTATCAGCACCCACACTGCCTTGGGAAATCCCACCTCAAATGCACAAGCAGACTAATACCAACAAATAGTTTGCCTGTACATTAGTGAGGAGCACTTGGGGCAGAAAGGAGCTTAGATAACACTGCTGTCTTTTTGAAGGTTACTTCTGTTTTCTATAAAGAAACCGCCTGGGCAAAATCCTGAAGCCACAATGTTTAGGCATGTACAACTTTTGGGGCACTACTGTAATACAAATAGTAAAATGAAAACAGGGAAAGTGTCTTTTCCTGTTCAGTTGCAGTCTGAAATACATATATGTATGCATAACTGTAAAAAACAGTAATAACCCAGGATAGTATACCTGCAAGTATACTCTACCATTAATGTTATTTTATATTATTTAGCACATTAAAGACTTCCCACCTTGCATAATATAAAATTTCAAGGAATAAAACACTAATCTCATGCATGGCACACTTCAAATAAACGCTAAGAGAAGCAACAAATCATTGTGCTAACCATGACTGTCCAAAAAGCTCACACACACAGCAGTGAGTACTGAAGAGCCTCCCGTTGTTCTAAACTAATACATTCTGTACTACTTTTGTAGCAAGTTCCTTTACGAACATCTGTTGTACATATCAAACAAATGGAATATATGGACAGAGATACCAAAAAGTGTGAGAAAGACATAAAATGGTTCATTTACAATGCTGCAAATGTAAAAGTTATCTGGAACATCTTAATAAAGCATCAGACCTTTCCAAGTTTAATTTCACTCTTTAGGCAAGTACAGACATGACATACATTTAAAAATGGACATTCTTTTACCACTTTTCACAAATCAAGGTACAGTGCAGGTACCTGCCCCCCCCCAAAGAAGAATATCAGTTATATTATTGTTACATTAGATGACGTTTTCGCCATTTCTTCAGGGGAGTGACTCTTTATTACTTCTTTGATGAACTGTTCGAGTGCAGTGAAATAACCCTGGCACTGCCAAGTGTCATTATGAGTTCCATCAGGAAATATTGCCAATCTCTTAGTCCGAGCTGGGGATAATTCATAAAGTTGCTTCATCATAACTGGCGGAATTAACTGGTCAGACAACCCAGAGATGAAGAGAGAAGGCATTCTGCACTGAGAGATTTTTCTGTAGGACAGGAATTTATTTTTGTAGCACCATAAAGGAAGATATCTCATTGGAAAGAAAGAAAACAAAGTGCTGGCCATGTATGGGATGCTAAGAAAGGTGTTCTCCACCACGATGGCAGAAATCCTATGGGAATTTTCAGAAGCTAAGTGAATAGCTACTGCTCCCCCCAAGGAACGGCCAAAAAGAAAAATTTTTGTTTTATCAAGATCAGACCGAGTCATCACATAGTCTAACACAGCCTCAGAATCTAAGTACAAACCTTCTTCACTTGCTTCTCCTTCACTTTTTCCATACCCTCTATAATCGACAAGAATTAAGTTTACTTTCAGGTTTACCAGCATTAACAAAGCATTTGGCAACCTGTGGCCAATGTTGCCTGCATTCCCATGAAAGTAAATGATGGTTGGAGAATAAGCTGCATTGTCCCCTGTGTATCTCAGTAGAATAAGATTGAGAAGAACTCCATCTTTGGTTTTGATAAAGATATTTTCATGTGGTATACCAGTAGGCATAGGAACATAAAGGCGTGATGAAGAGGGCTGTTCAGGAAAGTAAAGCAGCACATCCTGGAATTTATATAATATACCCGCTATTGATACAAATATTAATATAAGTAGTATAATGCCTCCGTACAAGTGAAAAGTTACTATCAAGAGTAAAAGACAAATACGGCAGAGACTCCAAGACCAGGAAGCCAAAGCTAGTAGCCATCTTTTAACAAAGGTCCAAAGCATCCATGACTTTTCCATTGTAGAAGTCAGTGATCTTTTACTCCAAGTAAATCCTGCAAAAAAACCCAAACATATATTTATAAATATTGGGGAAAGAAAAAAAGGAAGTAATTCAAGCATTCGTACTTGCAGAATATTAATTGCAAGTCAACACATTAAAGCATAAACATCAAACTTGGTGGCAAACTCCCTTTGAATTTTTGGAAACCATTCAGCTCTGTAAAACAAGCAGAAAAGCAATCATAAGGAAAAGGCTTTAGAACTCTTCAAAATCCCACTTACATTACTTCAGCAGGCAAGGTCAATCAGTAGCACTAGAAAATTGGTTGACTGGGACCATAATAACTTACACTTTCCCTCAGTCTTCCCTACCGACCAACAGAACAACGATACAGACCATATCACCAGTTTGTCAAAGTTTCCCATATAAGTAATTCTAGAATCCAGAGAACAAACAAAAATAGCCCTTATTTCTAAGCTGCTATTGATCAAGGCCAAGAGGAGCATTCAATAAGCCTATGCAGTTCACTCTGCAACCAGTGGAGGCTCACAATGTATACCGGGTCTGCTCTTATTTAGTGGCTGTCTTTCAGAATCTTGATCAACTATGATTACAGAGCAACACGTAAACTGGTCAGAAGAGACTCCTCTATAGTAAGATACCATATTGTAGTTACAGCAAAACAGCTGTCATAAATGTATTTGGATTGGTTCCGATTTGTAATGATGGTTTTCCACTATCAGATCAGTAATCCATATTAAATCTTCAGCTGAATGAGAGATTGTGTCATCATACTAGACCACTGAACACAGTCAGCTAACTGCATTGTTCTCTGATCAATGAAAAGCGCAACTACTGAAAAGTCCAAACGTGAAAACAGACTCATGACAAAAACATACACACAGCATAAAACGAGGATAGTGATGTTAATGATAATGGATTAAATCTTCTTTCCAACCATAAGAGATAGTTATGTCTCACAGCATACATAGAATCTCTCACATTACTCACTGCTGGGTTCAAGTATAATATGGAAATAGGCAAAACCTGCCAAACCTACACGAGAACTACAGTAACCATTCAGTCACCACTGAGCTGAATACCCATAGTGCCTGGAAGTGACAACACAAGCTCACTTGTTTAAGAACACTCTAAGTTATATAGCAGATAATAATTACAGTTTAGACACACTCAAAGTTATAACCTCCTAAAATGATGTAGTGCAGTAAGAAGCTGAATTAACTCCAAAGGAGTCTGACCTGCAGAGATGCATCGAAACATGCAATTAAGTCACAGGACCCACACCAAAATAACCTGCACGGCCTAATACTAATGGAGAGGGCTGCCACTGCACCAGCCATCTTGGTGGGATCGCATGATAAAAGGTGACCTCTGCAGTTGCAGCCTTTGCACTACACAAATATGATACGCACTCAATATGACCAGGAAAAACTGCCGTCTCTAATTATTTTATGTGACAATTAGATATAAATCAGAAATAAATCTGTTACATCTTAAGATTCACATATTAACCAAAGGCAACATGAAATTACGCTTTTATATAGTGCATCTACTCCAAATATGTAAAAGTGGTAAAATATAAAGTAGTCTAGAGAGCAGCAGTTATTCCAACTTTGTTCTCTTACATTATTTACGAGTGCATGTTCAATATCCACATCCAAGTATGCACAAATTGTCTATATGAAGATTTAATTCTTGTGATCCATTTCTCTAGTAAAGAAGTCACAGTAATTAGGAGACACAAAGTAGATACTTTAAAGTCCTAATGAAGTTGACAAACTTTTCCTGCACTACATTTCAAGACTATAAGAACATTGATAACAACACAGTAAAAACACTCTCCTTATGTATGCTATCCAAAATTTTGCTAACTTTCTTACAAAATGAAAGACTCTAAAAATGCTTTCTCAACAAGACATTCACAAAAGAGTACAAGACCCATCATTAAAAACTACTAAAAACCAAAGAAGTCTCAAAAAATCTTACTTAAGGTGATTAAGTTTTGCAGATGGCTCTCATATACGCTAAGGATTGCTATTTGAAGACTGATGCTGATTTTATAAGCCATGTTAGTTTCATTTGTGCACTGCTGCTATTTTCATTTCAGCAGGATATTATCAAAATGCTATACTACTGAGATACTGCTGCTGTGTGATTACTTCTGATACATACATAGGCATATATAAAAACTTTGCTACTGGAGTTGCAAACCCAATGCATCCTACAACTAGAACTCAACACACAGTAGTTAGCAGGAAGGGTAAACTACACAGTCATAAGCATTTCATACTCACCTACATATTTAAGAAAAGCTGACAACTCTGCACTAATGAACAACTACATGACTGTTAAAGTTTTCTTCCCAGCTACGTGAAACTTCACTAGTTCAGTCCATACTGCAAGACTACACACACACAAAAAAAAAAAATCTCTTCTTGGTCTTCATTTCCCATTACCGTTGTGCTGGATGGGAAGTTATAAAACTTTCAAACAGTTTACAATATAACATCTTACGACCCCAAAACTCTATGTTGAATTATAAAGAGCACATGTTGCGATTCTCCTGCATCTTTAATTTTTGTGACTAATAGGATGCCAGAATAATCACAGAAAGGCAGGGGGCGTAGGGAAGGAAAGGGAGAACAATATATTTAGACTTTGATGTTTGAGCTGGTCAATCTGAGAAAGAGTGGACTCACCACCTGGACAAGCCTGTTTCTCTTTTGAGACAAGACTACTTCTGTTCCTAGACTACAAGAACCACTAACAGACTTGGTCCATAACTGCCTGATGTCCCAGTTAAGGCAAGAAGCGTGCACCCCTTTATGTCTTCTAAAAGAGAACTTTTAGATTAATTCCTGTCATCTGCAAATATGACTGGTTAATTTTGTTTTTAATGGCTGACTTTAACATGATTATCTCAGTTATATTACCTTGTACAGTTAGAAGTATCACAGCTCTACAGAGAGATGGCATGCAACATCATCCATATATACACTGGCACCAGGGGAAGTCAGCAAGTCGGCCAGTGGCAGGCTAGTGGAAGTTCTGTTTCAGCCAGGGAAATAAGGTTTCTCTACAGATTTCCTTTTCAAATCTCCTAGATAAAACATTAACCCCTTGGAAATCATTCTGACTTCACTAAAAAAGCCCTTGGTTTTTTTTAAGGGACATTACATTGCAGCACTGTCCTTCAAGTAATTGTCATAACTTCGCTAATGACAAGGCTCTCCTATAACAAGAAGTCACATCCCATTTTACAGCATACACAGTAACAGTATTTTATAACCACTGATTATTTAAACTAAGTTAGAGGCTATGAAAACAAGCATAAGGGAGATTTTTGGGGTTTTTTTTTGTGGTTTTTTTTTTTTTTTTTTTAAACTTGTCATGAAAGTCAATGCCTGTGACAAATATACAGTCACCAAGAGCAGAACCATATAGTTTTATCTGGTAGATGTCTTCCTAGAAAGAAGACATCCCTTATATTAAGGGAAATTCCTACATAAGCTGTTCTTGTTCTTAGCTACTCTTGCTACTAGAAAATCCTTCTCAGTACTTAACAGGAAGGGAGACTTGTTAACTTAAATTCTTTACTTCTAGTTCAATGTTTATTGACCTCCAAATATGTAACCTACCTTCAATTTCTCCAGACTACATAAACTCAGTTCCTCTGCATTCTCCTCCCAGATGTTGTTTTCTTAGTTGCAAATATGATCAGAGGTCTTTCCTCTAGCATCTATCTGCTTCACGTTTCCTTCTGTCCCTCTGATAATGGTGCATTAGAAAGGCTAGCCTTTGTGAATGTTGGTGGTTCCTACCAGTGTTTTTTTGATGATGCTTGTAAACTTGAGACAAGTAGAAGACAATATTGAAATACAAAGTTCTGTCATGGAAACCATTAATACAGAAGAACAGCAATACGGCCCAATTCAATGTTAAGACCTAATGAAAATAAGGCTTAGCTAGACTGCTGCTGTGCCTTTGGCTTAAAGGCCATTAAAGATCAGTTCAGTTTACACAGCCACAGAACTGTACTGCCTCTCAAAACAGAAATGAAATTTCTAAGTGATGAGTTTCAATTTTATGCCACAGGGATATACACATATTTGGATACGCACGCACACATCTGTATCTATACGTCTCCACTGCTGAATCAATAGTCCAGGAATTAATGCTGGCCAGTATGTTCTATCAGAGGAGCTACAGATCCCATAATTAAGTAACTGCTGAAAATATAAATCACTCATAACAATAAAAATTCTGAGAAAAAAAATAAAGTCTTTATGATCCAAATGTTTTAATCATGTTCTGCTGTGCCCTAATGCTGCTCTTAAATGGTTAATGTCATTAGCAGCTGAAGATCATAAAACCCCAAGCACATACTGAAAGTACTTGGGAAAAATTTTTCATTCATTTTGAACGGCAGTTGAAATTACTGTTGGATTTGCCACAAATTCTGTTGTATTTTTTGACTTTGTCTACATTTTTAATGTTAAAAAGTGCTATTTTCATACACTAATCACATTATAAAACATTTACCTTTGGATGCAATGATTTCCCAGGCTTCATCTCTGCCTGAAAGACAATTCCATTTATGAAGTTTGAGTAAAATTGTTTTTGAATTACACACATAATTACTGTTTGTCTTCAGTTACTTGAAAGAAAACTAAAAAGTGATAACAGCCAATACACCTAGAAGTTACATCTGCTTTGCTGATGAAACTGTGCATATCATATTCATGCTGCTCCTATGAAGCTCAGTTTGTTTAAAACATCTGATAAACTTGAAAACAACATCTTTTAAAGAAGTTCAAGAATCACGTTGAAATGTCCTGGACTATACATACAGCACGCAGTATGAAACATACACAGTGCGTAACAACAAAGTTACAATAGATTTACATTGCCTCCTTAAAGCTAACTTTCAGCACATGAGCAGCCTTAAAGTTAGCGCTAAGAAGAGCATTCAGGTGTTTAATGGCTGCTTTCTCATTAAAGAGCTTTAAAACCAAAAAAAAAGTCATTTTTAACACTCACTACAATCCTTCAGATTTCACAGTTTCAAAACAAACAAACAAAACGAGGTGGTACTTAAGAACACAGAGAAATATCTGAAGACACCTGTTTCGTTCTACTGCACTTCCTTCCTCTACACTCCACCTCCTCCAGACACAGACAAGATTTACACAAGCTTTACACTTCTCATATTTATTCAGAAGACTTCTGTCAGTAGAAATGTTAAGTCCTCAACTGTAAAGAATTAGTTTCAGAGAGGAAACTAATTTGGAAGAAAACCTACAAGTTTAGTAAGGACAGGAAAACCACACTTTCTTAGTACTGAAATCTTACAGACGCTCTCATTAATTAAAAAAAAAAAGTTAAAAAAGCAAAGTAGCTACTCCTAGCCAAGGAAAAAGCAGAGTAAGAACAACTAAGTGTCAGACATTTAAGGGCTCTGGCTTTTAAAACCAGCGAGCCATTTGTCCTACTTATTTCAGACAGCAAACTTCCACAGCTCTGCATCAAGTGGTACATATTCATAGCTGAAAGTGTTTTCCCCTTAACTTTTCTTATACTTCCCCTCCCAACTGACAAATCTTAATGAACCTTATAAGCACGTCTTGAATTGTGACAGTACTGTGTAAAAAAAACAAACCAAGGGCAGTTATCGTGTTAAAACCTTAGCCTTCGAGTGAGCGTGGACTCCTAAAACATATCACTTTCCAAGCACGTTAAATTACTCCCATTTTCACCTGAAAGAAACAACCCTGCTCGGCCTTTTCCGTGCATTCACTCGGCACGTTAAGCACCGCTAAAGCTACCGCCATCCGCCCCACCTTCTGCGAGCATCCCCACCCGCGGAAATTACTCCACACGGCGGCGGGGACAAGCGGAACACTACAGCAAGGTCCCGCCGCGAAAGCCCTTCCAGGCCTTGGCAGGAAGGCGCCCAGAGGAACTTTTCCCAGCGCTGCCCAGGCAGCAGCTCCTCAGCCGGGACGTGCGGGCGGAGGAG